TTTTTTTTTTTTTTTTTTGCAGTTTTGTGGTAAGAGTTAGATGTTGACTGATAGACGGAAAGTTTGAGGTGGGGCTGGATTATATGGACAGTCTTTGTTGCTTCAGCTCTGTCAGCCAGGTGAGGAATTCTGTCCCTTTGGAATATTTTCTTTTTCTTTTGGAAATAATCAATCTCCATATGAGGATGTGAGGATGTCATGTGGTGAATTGCTGATCGAGAGTTGAGATTTAAGCTCTGCTGCTGTGCTAGAGAATGGACTTGGGACTTTTCCAAATTTTATTTTCTTAATCTTGATGAGAAAGGTTCTGTGAATTGATTATTTCTGTTCAAACAGTTGCCAATAACCAGCTTTTCTGAAAGCTTAAGCTTTTGATAGAGCCATAATATTTTTTTCATATCTCTAACATGTTCGTCCGTGCGAGAATGTTTTGGACTTGACGACTACAGAATGAATGAGTTTGCTATATCTCATACCGACATTTAATTATAAAGAACAGTGGGGCCTTGGAGGATTTTCCTATAATAGGAATGCACTACAAGAATGGATGAAATTGATAAGTGACTGTGTTATTTGTGATAAAACAATGGAGCTCATCAGGCTTAAAAGGAGATTTTCTAAATAGCTACAAGACCAACTGTGTTTTATGGTATGTCTTAGAAATTTGGTTTGGGTCTAATTCAACACTACGAAATTTACTTGTGAGGTGAGAGTTTTTTCTTACGTATATACTTTAATTTGGTCATTGAGTTAATTGATGTAGGAACTCCGTCTCACTTCCCTCAATGATAATTGGATATTTCAAGTGTGAAGTTTGCAGAATTGAACATCTGTGGGTTGTCTAATAATAATGACATAATAGCAAGTGACTTGATCAGATAAACTGGAATCTTAGAATTTGAATTTTAGTCTAACTCAATCAACAAAACCAGTTTGGTTTGGGCGAAGTATCTTCCATTATATACTGAATTTGGTTATACCAGGAGGCAATGTGATATTTACAACAGTATTGATAGCTGGGTGGTGAAGTTCTAGCTAGAGCGCAAGTATTCTGGAAATAGAATATTTTGGTAGATGAATGTTCTATCTAGATAAAATAGGATTAGTAATGGATATTTACATAGGAATACCACCTTTCGAGGAACATTTGACATAATCTTGCCTGAAATGGTTTGTCCACGTGTGGAAGCGAACAATTGAATCACCTGTTGAAAGAATTGGTTAGATGGAGGATAGATCAATGACAGGGTAGTGGTTGACCAAGGAAAACTCCAAGAGAAAATATTGAAAAAGCCTTGAATGTAAAAGCTCTTTCTCATATTTTGGTTTTATACAGTAGACATTGGTATTGTTTGATTCATGTACCTGCAATCATATGGTTTTGTTGTATATACAATAAAGGTTGCACAGAAACTCATGAACCCTTGGTCATAGAAGCACTAATTCCAAGTGAGATCATCTTCTGTTTCTCTCAAGATTAAACCAATAGATTGTTGGTCCTTTGTTAATTTAGGCTATATAATCTTCACTTCTTTGCACTTCAAATTATTTTTCTGCCTAAGTGATCCATTCTTCACCTCTGACGATC